CTAGACAGAAAAAAAAAATCAAGATATTAGAAAACCCTAAAGTTTCCTTAATGGCTGATAGGTTGAATCTATCCAACAGAGAAAGATCTGGAATCATTTTAGCTGTAGCTGAAGCATTAGGTCACAATTTAGATGAAATATCTATCTCAAAAAGCACAGCGTACAGATCAGGTAATAAAATTCGACAGCAAGTTTCAAATGATCTTAAGAAAACATTCATTTCACCCATGTACTCTTCCATTCACTGGGATTCAAAGCTGGTATCTGAGGTCGATGGTAAAGTGGAACGTTTGGCTATTGTTGTAACAGGAAAACCAAGTGCACCTGAAGGGAAATTGTTGTGTGTATCCAGGATTCCTGATACAACTGGGCGAAGTCAGGCAACAGCTACCATAGATGCTGTAAAGACATGGAAACTGGAAAAAACACTTGTGGCAATGATTTTTGACACAACTCCATCAAATTCAGGTTGGATAAATGGTTCTGCAAAGTTAATTGAAGAACACTTTAACAAAAAGTTACTTTGGTGCGCCTGCCGACACCATATTTTTGAAAGAGTTTTGTCATCTGTTTACTTCAAAGTTTTTGGAGAATGCAGATCTCCAAATTATGAGCCATTTAGACACTTTAAAAATGAGGTATGGCCTAAGCTTTCATTAACTTCAGATACTACTTTTAGAAAAATAAAGATCGAAGAACCAGTATTAAAGACCAAAAAAGCAGAAGTAATAATTTTTTTGTCTGGTTTACTTAACCGGAAATCTCGAAAAATATTAAGAGATGATTATCGAGAATGTTGTCAACTTGCTTTGCAATTACTCAATCCAAAACAAATAAATATACAGTGGCACAAACCTGGAGCCTTCCATCATGCTAGATGGATGTGTACAATCTTGTACACATCAAAGATGTTTGCTTTTGCTGACCTGGCAGAGTATGAAGAAAGTTTTATAGAGAAATTGTCAAGGTTTTGTAAATTTACTTTACTATTTTATGTGAAAATATGGCTTACGTGCACAAGCACAGTCGATGCTCCATTTAATGACCTGGAATTCTACAAAGAAATGCTTATTTATAAAAAAATTGACAATGATGTTGCTGTTGCTGCCCTGGAAACATTTAATCGGCATCTTTGGTATTTAACTGAAGAAATGTCCCCTCTTTCATTATTTTCTGATAAGGTATCTGATCGAGATAAAACTAAAATGGCTAAAATAATTCTGAAAAATATAAAAGAAAACTGTGAACATGATATAGGCTTTCCACAATTTCCTCTTCTGAAGCAGAGTACTTGTTTGACTGATTTAATTGGACCAAAATCAAGTAACATTCTAAATTTATTCGGATATTCAAATGAGGATGGCGGTTGGTTGGTAGAATCCCCAAAGTTTTGGAAAACTAACACAAATTTTAATCACATGTTTGAGCATATCAAATCACTGAAATCTGTAAACGATACAGCAGAACGAGCTGTAAAACTAATTCAAGACTATGCAACATCTATTACAAAAGATGATGAGCAGAAAGAATTTCTTTTACGTGCAGTAGAACACCACCGAAAAGTTCTTCCTCACATAAATAAACAAGCAATTCAAAAACTTAATTTTTGAAAATATGCTTTAAAAAATCTCTTTTTTATTATACCTTTAAAATATTGTTATTTTGTTGTTATAATTTAAAAAAAATGAGATTTTGAACTTCTTAGTACTTATTCCCATTGTGCTTTAATATTGTTAACTTATACCAATCATTTCTATCCTTCTTTGTTTAATAATTGAGTATTTATCAAATTTTTTGTTTTAATTAAAAATTATAATTTATAAAATTCCTTATTTAGGCAGAAAAAAATCATACGACAAAGGTAATATTAGAAAGGATGGGGGGGGGGGGGAGGGTCATAAACCAGGTGAAAATTTATTTTTAATAAATTTTCATTTTTATTTATTACAAAACTATTTGAAATTATAATAACAGTTAATTATATTGGATATAAATAATAGATATATAAAAGGAGTATATTAAGGATTGTTTTAGGGCAAAAACACATTAAAGGGGTTATGAGGGGGGAGGGGTCAAATATGAATTTTTTTTTGAAAATAACTATTGATTATGTTTTATCAAACAAAATTACACAAGAAAATTATATAAAATACGAACATAGTTGATTATCAAAAATAATTTTAGTCCTTTGTGTCATTTTTTTAGAAAAAAAACACAAAAAAAAGAGCGGCGGGGGGGTCAAATATGAAAATTTTTTGATTTTTTTTTTTTTTTTTGCTTTTAGTAAATAAAAATACATATGAAACTGTTTGAAAATCTAGAAATAGTTAAAAACTAAAAAAATTCATGTCATTTTGGGACACCCTAATATATATATATATCTATATATATATATATATATATATATATATATATATATATATATATATATATATATATATATACACTTAGACAGCTATATCATAATTCAGCATTGTTACATTATTTAAAATCCATATGTCAGGTTTAGCTTTAAAAGAATTGACAGAAATATCCCAAAATTTACATTAAAGTTAAATTCATACTCAATCCAACACCGCGGACCTTATTTGTGGAAAACTTTTCCCCAGATTATTTCTATCAAAAGAAATACACTTGAACAGTTCAAATCTGAATCAAAGCGTTTTTTATTATCTACGGACTTAAATTTTCTTTTTCTTTTTTAGTATAAAATAAACTAGCACAATTTATTTCTTTTATTTGTTTTAACTTTTACTTGTTCTAAATTTATTTTACTAAACGAATTTATGTATAAACAGTTATATCAATTGTAAAACGTAGTTTTTCACATTTTTACATATTTTATCACAAACAATTAATCACGATTTTATATATTTTGTTGTAAAAAACGACCTGTAATGAAGTCACTATGGGGCTCGGTGATAAGACAAACTGATGTCTTCTTCTTGCTCCAGCCATTTGTTTTATTATTTATGTTATTTTATAAATTGTAACTTTCTACGGCAAAAAAATTGAAAAAAAAAAAAAAAAAAAAAAAAAAAAATAGTATTAACGACATCGATTCCAATAAAAAGATGCTCTGTTGTTAAAAAATAATGCCGAGGCAAAAAGCTGGTTATTTCGCGATTATATTTCATTTGATGACCTCTTGCTGATTGATAACTTCTTGGCGGAATTTCATTAATTAAATTTTTTTTTTCAATGCCATTAAATAACTTATACATTTGAATCAAATCACCCTGAATGTGCCTTACAACTAAAGTAGTGAGACCATTTTATCTAATCTTTTCTCATAACATAGTTCTTTTAGTGGCAATATCATTCTTTTGGCACGATGCAGTACTTTTTGCTTCAATTTATCGCGGTAGTGGTATCAAAGACATCGGTTATAGTGTTATTGTTTTGACATCGATGATATCATTTGTTTTTTACGAGAAAAAATATTTTGTTTTTATAAACTATTAGTAATTTGAAATAGTAAATCTATACAATAACTGAAAGTTTTTTTATCATTAAGTTTATACAATAACTGAGAATTAACTTTTTTAGGTTAATCTAAGTTTTGATGAACTTTTTTGAGATACTTTGAATAAATCCAACCTTAAATGCTTTTATATTTTATAAAATAAAATATAAAAATTGCTCCGTTTTTGAAGAAACGAAAAATAGTAATCTATAAATATTATTAATTTAGAGGAGCGATTTGGTATTATGACAATGATGTGTTTATTTTTATTTTTTATGAAAACTTTTCGTGACTAAATCTTTGTATGAGACAGATTTTTATTTGTGAGTATTATTGAAAATTTTTTTTTGTTTAGTTATTGTTATTTTTTAATGAAATATTTATTTTACTTTTATTGTTTTTATTAGGATAATTGATATTAAAATTACGATCGATCAAGATGAATTTTGCCACTAATTCTTTCAACTTAAATGAATTGAGAACTAAATATGAAAATCAAATTTTTTTTATTTTAAATAATTATAACAGAAAAAATGGGGTGGCGAAATTATCCCAATAAAATCTGAGTTGGGGGAAGTTTGCCACCTAAGTTATTTACAACATAAATTTTTTATTTTAAATTATAAATCTTAAAAACACATTTAAAATCAGTTAAATAAAAGAAACCTAACAATATTCATTTTGTGGGAGCATGGCCATCGATACCAAGAGGTATCGGGCATATTCCCCATCCACCTTTTTTACCCTTTTTTTCTTTTTTTTTTTAGAAATGTAAAATATATTGAAAGCCGTAAAGAAAGTCCTGGGAGGGGGATTAGTTGACTGAAAAAAGAGTTTTAAAATAATCAAGCAAACTTAAAAAAAAAAATCAATTTACAAATTATAATACATGAGAGATGAAGAGATAAAAGTAAAAAACTCGTTTAATATAAATAGGTGCGAAATTCTCCCATTTTGTATTTCCGAAATAACTTTAGATCCGATTAAAATTAGAAACAAAAAAACAATGCAAAGATTCTTTGAAAAATTTCCAATATTTTAGTCTTTTAAATTTTGAATGGAAATAAATAATTTAATTTTCATGAGAAGTTTTTCAAAGCAAGTTAAAATTTGAATCAAAATTTTCAATCAAGTTTTCACAAAAGAAGATTTTTTTCAACATAACTTGATAAGAAATTTGTTTTTCTTCTAATTAAAATTTGAATTATAAAAAAATCTAATTCTTAAGTAAAGTTATAGTTATAAAAGTAGATATTATCAATATCTACTTGGCCTGTAAATCAAGCCAAACGAGCCAAGCTTGCCAGGGCTCGGCTCGGCTCGTTTACATATTAAGAGTGTTCAGGCTCGGCTCGAGCTTGTTTCGAACATGAGATTCTTTGTTCGATCTTTTGGTGCAAGATGGGATAAAAGAGATTGCTTTTGCTATTGAAAGTATTAGAAAAATAGTGAAGTATTTAAAGAAATCTCCTGCTCGTTTATATAAATTTGGACTAATTGCAAAGCAAATGGACGTTGGAACTCCACTTATACGATGTTAGAGCATATTCTACCATTTAAACTTATTTTGAAAGAATATGCTGCAAGGGATGCTAACTACGAATGGTTGCCTTCTGATGAGAATTGGATTAAAGCTGAAAAAATATGCAAGTTTTTTTTGGTGTTTAATACAACATCTAAACTATTTTCAGGAACCAAGTATCCAACAGCAAATTTTATTCAAGTTTGGAGTGTGAAACACATGTTGAACACACATCTTGCAAGTGACGATGAGTACATGAGGAAAATGGCAGCAACTATGTCTATTAAATTTGATAAATATTGGGGTGATTGCAACATGTTGATGTCAATTGCTTCTGTCTTGGATCCTCGTTACAAAATGGAGTTTTTGAAGTTCATTTTTCCTCAACTTTACAATGTTGTAGAAAGTCAAGATCATCTCAAGAAGATTATGGAAGTGCTCAAATAGTTGTACCAAACATATGTTAGTGAAAGTGAGACAACGGGATCAAAAGATGCAACCATTAAGGATAAAAAACAATTTTCCTCAAATTTGCAACAAGTTATTGACTTTGAGCAATTTTGCGATACAAATTCAGTAGCTGAAAAGACTGAGTTGGAACTTTATCTTGAGGAAAAGCGTTTCAAATGTGAACCGTCAACCCACTTTACTTTTGATGTACTAGGTTGGTGGAAGGTGCATAGCATTAATAAACCAATCCTTTCAATGATGGCACGAGAAATACTTTCAATTCCACTAACATCAGTTGCTTCAGAATCTGCATTTAGCGCAGGAGGTCGAGCGCTTGATTCATTTAGAAGTTCATTATCACCTGAAACAGTGGAAGCTTTGGTTTGTTGTGCAAGTTGGTTGAAAGATGATAGTCAAGAGAAAAAGGTAATGTTATTCTCTAAGTCATTTTTATGATATCTTTTTTAATTCAAGTTTTAATATCAACTAATTTTGTAGGTTGATCTTGAAGAAGAAAATTTGAATGTTGTTATTCCAACGGTTCTTAATTCAACTATATGAAAAGGTAAACAATTAAGGGTCTAATTATGTTTTTATGTAGCATGGTATCTCCTTTCAAATTCCAATTATTTTTTTATATTTAATTATCTAGATTCATTCTCATTCAAGTTTGTTGTAAAATTTCAGATTTTCAGCTCACTTTTGAGGTTCAACTTCAAGAGAATTAGAGAAAGGCTTTTTATCTTGTTTCACCCGATGCAATGAGAGCAAGACTTATATTTGTGAAAATATAATTTGAATTATTAGAGTGCAGTGTTTAATAGGAATTATTATTTTTGTGAGAGTTTACATTATGTTTGAACTTTGAACATTAAGTTTGAACATTGAACTATTAGATTTAACTTTTATTTTGAACTATTAGATTTGTTAGATCTTTTTTCATTATGCTGTTTATTTGCATGTTTAATAGACTGTAGGATTGTTTATGTTGTTTGTTGATTTGGACTTGCATTATTTACAGACGAGCCTTTAACGAAAATTTTTTTTTCTTACTAAACGAGCTTTAAACTAACAGGTTACAATAATTATTTCGAGTTTTAAACCAGTCGAGCTCCAGCAACATGTAAAACGAGCCGAGCCCAAACAATACTAATCCTTAACGAGCCGAGCTCGAACAAAGAATCTCATGTTCGAAACAAGCTCGAGCCGAGCCTGAACACTCTTAATATGTAAACAAGCCGAGTCAAGCCCTGGCAAGCTTGGCTCGTTTGGCTTGATTTACAGACCTAAATAGTACTACCTTTATTTTTTATCTTTAATATTTTTAACGCAAAAAGCGATGAAAAAACTTTTGAAACATTAGAGCGGAAAATGATAAGAAATCTTTGTGTTAACATAATTCTTTTATATTATTAATGACTCGTTGTTATAAACAATATAGAAGTTTTTAAAATTAACTCAAAGATTTTTTACTATTTATGGTTTTCATTTTTATGGACATTTTAGTTTTGTTAGCATTGCGTTACGTTGTCAAATAATTGATATCCAAGATCACTCCATACTGTTTTAACATTTTTATCGTGTGAATTAAAAATATTATGTTTCAGGCATCCTTTAAAATATTTTTTGCTTAATGAATGCGTCATATTTTGCGGATTGCCAACTCCACCAATATAAAAGTATTCTTGTTCTTTATTAAATTGAATTTCGTCTTGGTTTTGAATGGATAACAAAGTAAATATTTGTCTGTCAAGTTTAATTTTAATATACTGGGGATGTTTAACTAGAGATAAATAATGCCATTGTTCGTCTAGTACAAAGTTGCCAACTTTTACACTGACAGAACCTAAAAAAATTTTTTACAATTTGAATCAGTAAAAATTTTTGATATATATATATATATATATATATATATATATATATATATATATATATATATATATATATATATATATATATATATATATATATATATATATATATATATATATATATATATATATATATATATATATATATATATATATATATATATATATATATATATATATATATATATGTAAAGTACTTTAGCTAGCAAGTTTAAATCAAATCCTAAATTGCTTTATAAATATATCAATGAAAAGAAATCAGTGAAAACTCAAATTCGAGCTCTGGAAATTGATAATGGGGAAATCATAAATGATCAATTCGCTATAGCTACTGAACTAAATAAATATTTTCATTCTGTGTATGTTAATGATAATTGTACAAGTATTATTGAGTTTCATAATATACCTTCAAATTTATTATTAAACACAGTTTTAATAACACAAAATGATGTTGAAACTAGACTTCAAGCGCTTGATAAGTCAAAATCAGTCGGTTTTGATTTTGTTCATCCATATGTTTTAAAAGAATGCAGCTCGTCAATATCATACCCATTATATTTAATTTTCAAAAAATCGATGGAAACAGGTACCCTACCAGATATGTGGAAGAAGGCAAATGTAATGCCACGTTTTAAAAAAGGAAGCAAATTAAAAGCATCTAACTACAGACCAGTCTCGTTAACTTCAATACCATGTAAAGTGTTAGAAAGAATAATAGCTGATTGTATCATGCAACATCTCATAAAAAATAATTTACTTTCAACAAAAAAAATGGTTTTATGAAAAGCAAGAGCTGTACAACAAACCTATTAGAATACCTAGATATTTTAACAGATGCGTTCCACAATAGAACACCGGTAGATGTATTGTACACAGGTTTTAAAAAAGCTTTTGATAGTGTTTCACATAAAAAGTTATTATCCAAGTTATTGACTTATGGTAATTTCTGATAAACTTCTTACGTGGATAGTCTATTTTTCAGCTAACAGAAAACAAAGAGTGATTTTAGGTAAAAGTGTGAAAGATTGGGTTGATGTACTTAGTGGTGTACCACAAGGGTCTGTTCTAGGTCCTCTCCTTTTTTTGGTATTTATAAATGATTTACCAGAAAATTTTATTAATGAATGTCGTTTATATACTGATGATAATAAGATAATTGCACCTATTTCTTCTCAAAATGATTCACAATTGTTTCAAAATGATATAAATAAACTTGACGAATGGTCAACAAAATGGAAATGAGAATTAAATTTTGAAAAATGTAAAATTATGCACTTTGGTTCAAATAATAACGAATATTCATATTTTATGAACAATAACAATACATTAATGGAAATTGAAAAGTCAAAACTAGAAAAAGACATTGGTGTTTATATATCAAGTGATTTAAAATTGGCCGAACAAGTAAAATATGCAGCTAGTAAAGCAAATAGTATACTCTCACTACTAAATAATACATTCAAGTACAAGGATAAAAATCTAATAAAAACACTGTATTGTACATATGTTAGACCAAATTTAGAGTTTTCAATTCAAGCATGGAGTCCGTATTATACAAAAGATATTAATGAACTAGAAAAAGTCCAACGAAGAACTACCAAAATGATACCGGAGCTAAGACATCTTGAGTACAAAAAAAGATTGGAAATTTTGGGTTTGACTACTTTGGAGACTAGAAGGCTAAGGTGCGATTTGATCCAGCAATTCAAAATATTTAAAGGTATTGAAATTATTGATATTAAACAAAATCAAACAATGAACTCTATTTGCTCATCAGGTCCTGCAGCTAACATTAGAGGAGCAAAACATCGAATGAAACCTGAATTGGTCAGAAATTGTTAGAAAAGGCAATATTTTTTCAGCAATAGAGTTGTCGATGGACGGAATAGTCTACCAGCCGAAGTTGTTCAATCTACTACAGCTAAAAGCTTCAAATTAAACTTGCAATTGATCGACTTAGAAGCAATAACAAACAAGATAAAAACCAAGAAAGCTTATTATTAACGTTTTTATTATTTAGTGACTAACTTGTTCATTAATTAATTTATACCGGCTGTCATAGATATTGTCTGGTGCTTTATCTCAACAGCATTAATTAATTAATAATAATAATAATAATAATAATAATAATAACAATAATATATATATATATATATATATATATATATATATATATATATATATATATATATATATATATATATATATATATATATATATATATATATATATATATATATATATATACTTATATAAAGTGTTGTGCAAAATAGTTGCATCAAAATCAAAAACAATAAAAATCCAGGAATTTTTAAGCTTTCTTTCAATATAATAAAAACTTATACATCGATATTTTGTGAGTCTTCATAGAACAGCTATGACATTGCACACAACTTATGTATACAATTTGGCATAGCATTTACCAAATTTTTACAAATGTTTTGGATTTCTAAACTAAATCTGAAGGATATTGGTGGTACGCTTAGTTTGAGTTAGTCATGTTTTCGCAGTCTTTTTTTTACAATTGCTCAGGGATTCTCAATTGGATTGAGATCTAAAATGTAGTTTAATTGATTTAGTATTATTTTTTATAATAGTTTTCTTGACTTTTTTGGATGTATGGCATGTGGCTAAATTCTGCATTCTGTTTTCATTTTTAACATTTTATTCTGTTTCCAACACTTTTAACATCTCTAGAATTAGATGTATTGCAGAATCGTAATTTAAGTGTCAGAGGTCATCATGCCAGTAACAGGGTAGAGTGCTCCTAGTCCAACAGCAGATAAATAACTCCAAAACATCTATTCTGGATACTTGGCGTATTTTTCAATGTGTCCAAGTCTTATAGGCTCATTATCAGAGCAACGAACAAACTTTGATAACTGGCCTTGCACTATAAAATGCGATTCATCCAAAAATAATCAAGTTAACAATTATCAAGCCAGTTATTAAATAAATTAATTGACAATTATAAACTGTCTTAAATTTAATTTCTTCACTTTTAAAAAATAGTATGATTATACAAATACAATAAATAAAATAGCTGTAAATTTAACAAATACATTTTGTCGTACCCTTCTCCTTTGTTCTTTAGCTCACTCTTTGTATTCTTTTTCCCACAAGAAACGCTTCTTTTTCATGGCATCTGTAAGTAACATTTTTTAAGAAAGTTTTCTGGCAAATCCTATAACAACTACCAATTTTCTAAGTATAGCACTTGAGCAGACATGGATGTCATGCATAACTAAATCATTCATCAGTTGGTAACTTGTCTTTTTGAATTTTTGATACTCTCTAGCATCAGAAACTGTTCATTTCTCACTAAGGTCTTCTGTTTTTAACTACATAATTCTTGTCTTAATGGTGAGAAGCTGCCTGTTTCACAGTGATGCTATTTGACCTGGCTAACTGCAGATTGGTTTACTGAACATAATGTGGCTATTTCCCTTTGAGAATTATCAGAATACTGAAGTAAAGTTAATATTTAATGGAAAATAAAAAGCTTGTTGTTGTTGTTGTTGTTGTTGTTGTTGTTGTTGTTGTTGTTGTTGTTGTTGTTGTAAAAAATGTTTGACGCAATTAATTTGCACAAAACATTATATATATAAACTTATATCAACAAAAGAGCGTTAATCAAACAATATATATATATATATGGATCTGGAATCTGGACAAAAAAGATGAAATCAAAAGTTTACAACTAGTGTGAGAAATGACCATAAAAACACTTCTAAATATTTAGCGATCATCGGAAAATGTTTTTTAATTTCACGGGATAAGTCAGAGGCGGATCCAGACCATCTGGTAAAGGGGGGCAAGATATAAATTTTTTTAAGTCGTTGCATTCATTTGGGAAAAAACAAGGGGGGAGGGATTGATTTAATTGATACAAACTATCTAATAAATTAGGGAAGGTCCGGGCAATTTTTCAGGTTTTTTAGTTAATTTTTTTAGAATATTAGTCTTTTTCTGTTTTAAGGGTCTTTACACACATTGCCCCCCCCCCCCTCTAATGATCCACTCTATGGGATAAATACACTTCCTAGAAAAATCAAAGGTATGTGAATATTATTATTCAAAAACACACATACTGGAATCTGGGCATGAATCAAATTTCTGAGTCTCTACCGGATGAAAAAGCTACAACAGTTGTCACAGAAGAATTTGCCGAATTTTTGAAAATAATCCTTTTCCAAAAGTGAAAGTGCGCTACAATTCTGTCATCACTAAAGTCAGAAATATCTTTAAATTATTTCAAAAATCTTTAGTCAAAAATGAGAGGTTTTGCGTATCTTTAACTAAGGAACAAGATGGAACAGTCTGCTGTTTATTTAAGAGTTTCTCAAAGTTAAAGATTCAATTAGAAAAGTATTGAAGGTTGTTTCTCCACATTTGATTTATGTGATAATGTAAATAGTGATGTAAATAGTGATGAAGTAAACAGTTTTGACAACATTGTTGCTGCTCTTAAAGCAGCCAAATTGGCAGCGGAAGCCCTTTGCCAATAGGATGTTACTCTTTTTATTGCTGAGAAAATTGTTAAGCTTCTTGTGGACAGAAACAATGAAAAAAATTCAACTTTTTGCATTACAAAAAAAAGTGCAATTTTGAGGCTACTCGAAGAGAAAATCAGAACAACGATGTAAGCTTGTATCTTTCTAATCCAAAATGTTTATCCGACAAAAATTTGATGCAGAATGAATGATAACTTACTTAATACACTCAAAGCTGTTTTTTAAAAACAATTATAAAAAAAGATATAAGATTGAGTTTATAAATATTTTATTTAAAAAGATGAAAATAAGTTTTTAAGAAATTTTTTTTACTGATTATTTTTACTGATTATATATTTACAGGTAAATCAGACTCTTTTTAACAGATTTACCAGTAAACTTAAAAGTCAGTAAAAGCTTAACCTTAATCGAAGGAAAAGTACTACGACCTTGGAACTATACTAAGCACTGAATGGCTTAAG